ACATACCGATAGATAGATAGATAGATAGATAGATAGATAGATAGATAGATAGATAGATAGATAGATAGATAGATAGATAGATAGATAGATAGATAGATAAATAGATAGATAGATGTGTGTGTGTGTGTGTGTGTGTGTGTGTGTGTGAGAGAGAGAGAGAGAGAGAGAGAGAGAGAGAGAGAGAGAGAGAGAGAGAGAGAGAGAGAGAGAGAGAGAGAGAGAAGAGAAAGAGATGTGTTTTCTCCTCCATATACTTCATAGAAAAAAAAATACTCCAAACCTAAAAGCTGATTTTAACCTAGGTTGGGATTAAAAAGAGGCATAAAAAAGCATTGAAATGAATGTGACAGAAGTCAAACTTTTTTTAAAAAATCAAACATTATCCTTAGCATTAGGGAAAGGTGGAAGATAATTCAGCCAATAAGTCTTTATTGCCTTTCTTTGTCTTCACATTGAACAAATCAATCAATCTTGTATAGTAGAAAGCATATCCTTTAATGAGCATTCCTGCTACAGGGAGGTGATTCACAATTTTTTGAAGGATTCACAACTGCGGTCGGGACAGTTGCTGGGCTGAACAAGACTTAGGCACAGAGGGGACTAGCCAGATCTCAGGGGAACTTGGGAAGGAGTTCCCCTTCCCATTTAAGGCCTTTCTGTGGGAATGAAGGGAAATGTCAAAAAGTAGGGGAAAGCGATTTACAATGAAAACTGGGAAGACACTCACCGAGTCTCTTGGCTGTAGTCCCTAAGTTAACTTCAATGGCACCACATGCCACCCCCACCTCCCAATTTCTCTGGAATCCTCTTCTCCTTTTGAAAGTGTTTCCATAGCCAATTCTTTCCCATCACACTGAGTGAGAATTGATTGGGGCACAGATTTGAGTCTTTTGAGTGCTGTTGTTACTGGAGACATGTTGGACAGTTCGTGATTTGACAGCACAGTCTTTAAAGAAATTGATTAACACAGCAAAGATGAATAAAAAAGATAGGCTAGCGGAATAATTAAGTCAGCTCTTTTCTCTTTTGTATTTCTTTTTTTAAGTAGAAAAATGGGTAAGATTTCTAGCCTCTGACACAGCAAAATGCCCTGACAGATGGCTTGCAATGGTTGCTAATGCTCCTTTTTGTGGAAAACAAAGACAAGTATTACCGAAGCAATCACTAAGTTTCAGTCTTCTGCACGAAAAAGCATGCAGCGGGCTAAGTTTTATCCTGGGTCATTGAGCTGGCTGATTATTTTATTTGCCAGTGTCTGCTGGGTAATTTGGTTATACTGAGATTCATGGTTTTGATTTTGGCACCTCGGTGCTGGGAAATTTCTGTAGGCCCGTGACCTTCATAAATGGATTGATTGACTTAGAAACTGGTTGAAAATGTTAACAGATTCAACCACTGCAAGAGCTGAAGGAGCTGTTGGTAAAGGCTCTGTCTCCAGCATCTACCCTAGATATTTTATTTATCTAGAACATAGAATGTAGAATAATAGGGATGGAAGGGACCTTGCAAATCTAGACATGTCCAAATCTAGACATTTTCCAAAACCATCCTTGCTTAACATTAAGGTACATTGAACATAGAATACAAAATAACAGAGTTGGAAGGGATGTTGGAGGTCTTCTAGTCCAACCCCGTTCATGTGACTGCATTTTGCATACTTGACAAATGGTCTACATTTACGGCCATTTGCATCATACCATGTGTGTGACTGTGATTTACAACATTTTTGTTGAAAACTGGTGTTTAATTCCAGTTTTCAGCAAAAAATAACTCACAGTGAACAATGGGTTCACTTAATGACAGTGGCATTTGTTTGGCAACCACCACAAAAAGGCCATAAAATTGAGTCAGTCATATGTTGACCCACTTTATGACCATCACAACTTATGACTATAATGGGCAGGCTCCACTATGATCATAGTGTCAATGCTGTAAACATTGGATGTTCCCGCTCTGAAAACTGATGACAATTGCAGCCATTTTGTCTTTCCTTTTAATATGCTTTTTCTGGTATTTAGAATTCAGGTGCAGAAGGGGGTGGGGGTTGGGATGAAAGCTTGAACTCAGCTAGCCATAATAATAACGCTGCTTTGTGGGAACCCAAGGACGAGCTGATAACGTTTTGGCGGGCTGAGGAGCTGGGGAGAAAGCCCGCATTTTAGGCTAATTGGAGAATGTGATTTATGACAGCTTATTGTGGGTGGGAATTGCACTTTGTTACTTTGTATCTGGGGGAAGGGAATTTAGTTTTTGGGTTCAACTATGTAGTGCCGATACTTTGTTTCCTGAATAAAATGTTCTTTAAGGAAGAATTTTTCCCTTGAAGTTCTTTTGATGGGTTTCATCCATCGGAACCATGACACATAGGTTGAGGACTACCTGTAATGTTAAGCCATAAAGGGTAGAGATCCCCATCTTTGCAGCAAAAATCACAGTGACCACTTGATGGTAGCTAGGAGATACAGGATACCCTATTTTGCCACCTAGCAGTCACTCAGATATTTTCTTGTTTGTAATCCAGATATGGCAACTCTTGAAGCTACTTCATAAAACAACAGAAGCATCTCAATTCACACCCGCTTCCTGGATCAGTGCAAAGCATCCATTTGGATTCATATCCCTCCAGCAGTTCTAACAGTGGTAGGATATGTCTCTTTAATGTACTATTCAAATGCAGAAGCCTTTGAACTGCTAGATCAGGCTGGATGGTGGATGCAAAAAACCTGAGATAAATTGTGTTACATTTTCACATCTTCAGGGAGAATCATGTTGCCTTTGCTATGCAAAGCACCTTGTTCAAAAATATTGAAGCCGTCTTTCCTAGATCTAATAAAGATCAAAATTATAGACAGTTTATAACAGTGTGTTGTTTATGCTGGCTGGGGAATTCTGGGAGTTGAAGTCCACACATCTTATTGATGGCTTTGTAATTAAAGATTCCCTAAACCAGTGGTTCTCAACCTGTGGGTTGGGACCCCATTTGGGGTCGATCGACCATTTCACGGGGGTCGCCAAGCAAGGCTGTCCGCCATTTTTTTTTGTCCGCCATTTTTTTGTCTGCCATTTTTTTCCCCTTTTCCGGCGGGTGCCTTACCTCCCTTGGGCTGGGCCAGCTGGTGGTCAGCCTGCTCCGTCTCTGCCGCTTGCCGGCTACGCCTCAGCTGGTGCAGGGGGCGGAACCACGCATGCGCGGTGCGCCCGGGCAGGGAAAGTCCTCGACTTACGACCGGTTGGGTAGTCCTCGACTTACGACCGGTTTAGTCCTCGACTTACGACCGGTTGGGGTCGCGGCATTAAAAAGGTTGAGAACCACTGCCCTAAACCTTTATGGCAACACAGGGGGAAACTGTAAGATCTGGGTTGAAAATTCAACTCTATTTTAGATTATTGGTTTCCATAAGCATTGTTTTTTTGTTGCTGTTAGAACCACATTTTAAATAGTGAAAATAAATCCTTCCTAATTTTTGTTGAATATCTTCTTCTGATTATCTTGACAGTATGGTTTGTGTGGCTTACGACAAAGATTTTGCATGTTCTGTCAGTTAGGTACATCTTAATGTTTGTATCTTCTGTGTTTCATTTCTCTGTTGTTTCTCAATATAGAACTTAGAGCCTAAGCAATTGGCAGTACTTAATTATCCTTGATTGATCTCGGAATAGAATTGGGCCTAGTCTTTAGCTTGACCTCTTTGGTATTGTTCTGTCCCCAAGGCTTTTGCCGCTCTGGCAGGATAAGGTTAATTTCTTTCTGTTTAGCTAGCTTATAGGTAAGTTTGGCAACCTTAACCTTGCTGGCCAAAGTAAGTACAGCATGTTCATAAGGAAGTGTTTAGAGATTCTTACTTACTTCCCTTTTCCTATTTCATCATTTCCTGTTACAAGCATTGATGAGAAAGAGAAGGGAAGTGAGGTCATTCCAGTCTCCATCTTCCATTCAGAGAATCCACTCAGTTTTCAGCTGCAATCTCGACCCATCTTGGGGCATTGCAGGTAAGCAGCATATCCTTACATACCTGTATTCAGTTTAGGTCCTAAGTGGTGTAGGGGCAGTTATATTTTAGCCTAGACAGAAAACAGACCATGTTATAGCTAGGAACACATTGTCTCTTTTATGGAGCATGACTCCTATTTGTTATTCATGTTGTAGTCACATACTATTGCTTATTTTTTACATTTTACTGGATCTTGCAGCACTGAATAAAGGTTAGATGGTGAAACACTGTCTCTGTTATTGAATGACAAGAAAGGTTAACTGCCCGGATAGCTTTCCATAGAGCCACAAGGTTATGGATTAGCGAGTCCAGGGCAGGTATTCACAAGTCTTTATATATATATCTTATTCAGCGTCACAATCCACATCTCTTAAAATGGATGCACTCCACTTATTTAATTATTTAAGGACCAGAAAGCCATTGTGTTTGCAATGTTTCTGGAATTGTTGTTGTTGTTATAAGATGATTAAAGAAATAAGTTTATGAAAACAATTTCCACCAAATTAATTTCATTCCTAAGCCTATAATCACCAACACACTTACCTGGGAGTAAATCTCATTATAGTTGTCAAGACTTACAGCTAAATACAAACATACAGGATTATCCTGTAAATAAAAAATAGCAAGAAGCACTGAAATATTTTCATGTATCATATCCCAATTGACAAGAAAACTTTTAAAAATATTTTAAGAAATGGCGGAAAAAAAGACAAAGACAATTATTTTTTTTTCCCATTAAATTGCTTCACTAAAAATATTTGTCAGGATGAGTTTGAAACAAAAAAACTAATGAACCAAAACCCAGGGGAAAAATACACATTTGAATTGCCAAAAACCTCTATAAAAATGTTTGATACTCTTGAGAAAATATTGCTGGTAGGCAGTAAGGATAAGAGACACTGTTGCTTCCCGCCCCCAGCCACATTTCCCAGAATTAGCAGTGCACAAAAATGTTAAAATTTGTAGCCATTTATAGAGAAAAGGACACACACAGGCAGAGATGCTAATGGCTTTTGCCTCGGTTTATAACCTAATTTCCATCCTTCATTGCTTGCCTTTCATAGCACTTAGTACCCTGAAGACTGTCCAAGTCTTAAGAATTTGCATTCATCAGCAGACTCTGTGCAAATCTTGCTTTTAAATGCTATAAAATCCTGGCCTTTTCTTTAATTTCATTATTCGGTCTTTCCTTAACAATGCAGCAAGCTGGCTGTAGGGCATCATCTGCGCAAATAGGTTTTTGGCAGCCCTGTAAAGTTCCTCTCACGTAGGGCTTTATCCACTATCACAATAAGCTGATCTATCACTTCTTTCATTTCCTTTGTGAAGGGTTCAAACTCCTTCTGCTTGGCTCCCGACCGCTTGAAATTCCCGTCTCGGTTATTTTCAACACAGAGGAGTCGATCGTAAGTCACTGTGATGTTCAGAAATTCAACCATTTCCCTCAGCTTGGGAAGAAGGGCTTCTTCTAAGTCTTCGTAATGAACCACGAGGAGACGCTTGCCGTATTTAAGCCAGTCGAGCACATGAGAGGCCCACCAGGAAGCATAGCTGTTTACAAAATCAGGCCATTCTGTGGGGCGAGAAATACCATAAAGATGTTTTATATGTCTGCATAAGTGGCTTTTTGGAACACTGTGCAGGAAAAAAAAATCTCCTGCACCTTCTTGAATCTAGTCAATTAATGGTCAGCACTAAATTGGCACTAGATAAGAATCAACAGAATTCAAGGGGGGAAGCTGGACTTGGAGCATTTGAGGGGACATAATGATTCTAGGCTGATTACTCACTTGATTCTGTCCCAGCTCTGCCTGCTCTTCTCCTACAGTAGGTAGCCATAGAACAGTCATAGAAGATTAGAAATAACATTTGAAATAAAGCTGTTCAGCTGGCTAACATAAGAGAAAGGGTCTTATCTGCAGTAGCCCCACATGTCTGGAAAGGTTTGCTTCAAGGTTAGTCATGGGAAGGATTCAATGAGGTCCAATCTATGTTAAAAATGATACCATCCCCCAATTTATTTGTGGGCAAGAAAACAACTGTTACTCACTCACTTTGAAACCCTTTACATTCTTGTCCCGGAATGAATTAATCATCTGGGGAAGTTGCTGAGAGATGCTATGGGTCTATTTGGCAGTGATTCTAACTGACTCTACTCTGTCGCCATCCCAAACTGACCCCAATCCTTCCATGATAGGAAGAAATATTCCCAGGGCCAAAATGACCACAAGAGAACTAGCTACCCTAGTTACCTTTACTTTTCCAGTTCTGATCTGTGGCATATCCAAGATGGCCAGCACACTTCCGGTTGAATTCCGCCACCAGTGATTTGTACGGGTTGCGTATCAGTAAGATAGCCGCATCAAACATTTCAATTTCCTTTCTGCCACTCTCATGTGTTTTGACACAAATAGTTCTTCTGCTTCTCCAGTGGTCCTTTTCTCCTTTGAAACCTGGACAGGATGTAAAGACTGGGGTTACTATTTTCAAAGTCTTAAAAATTTTCGGATATATGTTACAGAAGAAAATACTTCATTTTCTATTATTCCTCCCCATTCATTGACATCATCTGGAAAAGTTCACCTACAAATGACATAACTGTCATCAGGTGGTAACCCAGATCAAGTCTTTTCTATAGTTATCCAAGTTTCCATTCATTGAGTAAAGTGAAGTCTGTGTTGACATTAAAAATAGCCATTAAAAGCTTGGTTATTAAAAGTGGTGTGTTTTTAATTGTCTATGATTTAAATTAATTTTCATTCTGAATTTATTTATTTATTTATTTATTGCATTTATTTGCTGCCCATCGTGTGGCTCGGTTACAGCATAAAGATATTTAAATCACCAAAAATAAATATTCCTGATACAATAAAATGAAACACCATCAAAGTCAAATTATTAGTTACAGGATGGGGAAGGAGCAAGCCAGATTTGGGGGGAGAGGGGGAGGTGGGATTGGTTGTTAATTAATCAACCGCCTCCAGTGTGATACTCCCCCATTGGGGTCCCAAGCTAGCTGGCAGAGCCAGGTCTTAAGGACTTTATGGAAAGTCAGTAGAATGAGAGCCAATCTAACCTCAGGATGTAAGATATTCCAAAGGGCAGGAACCATGACAGAGAAGGCTCTTTTCCTGGATCCCACCAGCCAAAATTCCTTGGCTGACAGGATTCGCAATATGCCTCTTCTGCCAGCCCGGTAACCTGGACCCATGCCCTGCAAGGCTTTAAAGGTAATAACCAACACCTTGAATTGCACCTGGAATTGATATTTAAATATCTTCATAGGTACTTATGGTGGTGGGGAGGGGGGAGGTTCACCTTAGGTCAGGACCAGCCATGTCTGGGGGTTGCGGTGTAGAAGGAGTGGGGGGGGAGGGTGGGGGGTTGAGGGAGGAGGGAGGTATTAGTACGGTCAGTGGGAGAGGCAGATATGGCGGGAGTAGAGGACCATATCAGGTTAGGGGAGCACGCACACGCTATTTACAAGCTTGT